AATTTACACATCTGCTGTCATAGCCTAATTTTTATGAGCAGGCTAATTTAATCATAACTTGATTTTTATGACTCATATTCATAGCTGAATATGTATTTTTTAATTTAATCGTAGTTTAATCATAGCATAACCTGCATAAGTCATAATAATAGCTTAAATCTCAATCATATTTTAATTAATTTATTTTTATGACACAGACTTACACAGTGCGATTCTATCTAGGTTTACATATCCGTTATTTTTCCTTTATGTGCTTTCCATATGTGCTCAATGCTAAGTTTTCTAAATGCAGAAATATTAAATTTTTTGAGTAATGAATCGATAAAATGATCAACATCGGACAAAATGTTTTCATACTGTTTAGTGTTTAAATTCATTATTTTGCTGTGACTGATTCTTATGATAAAATTTAAATCTTTAACCATGCACGAAATTATCGTAATAAAAATATTCTTTTAATTTTCCCAAGGCCTTAAAAGATGTAATGCCTAACCACTGAATATTTTCATACCTTGTTATTTTATTCAATACTTTTTCATGAGATTCTATTACAAATTAAACTATTTTTAGAAATGAAAAATAAATTAATTATTATCTTTCCAAAGGTTTTTTTTCAAAGAAAGAAACCCCCTAGAAACCTAAACTAATTTAATTTTCTTAACTTTAATAAAATACTTCAGTTGCACAGCAACTATTCTAAGAAATTATTTCCATCCACTCTGTACAGGAAACGAATCTTTTTGATCTCTTAATTCCTGACTCATTATATCTTTCCTTGAGGGCATGTATCGTATGGCTTTTTTATGTCTATCAAATTAAATAAATTGAGCCAGAGAATTTGTTTCGTGTATTTTTAGGAAGAGCTGCAGATGAATCTTCTATTATAGCGAAAGTGCAAATCATGAAAGAGGTCTTAAATTATTTATGAAATTCTTTCTGTGTCAGTAATTATTTATGCAAGAGAAGTATGGAAGTAATATTTTACGCTATCATTAGGAATCATTTTGAGCGTATCTCCATTCTGTTAATCCTAAATAAAAGCTGGAAACTATTTAATTTCATTATTATTTATATGGCTGCTTATGATATGCTTTACTTTCATTTTACTTCTGGTAAGCATAGCCATGATGGACACTTCTATCATTTCGATTTCTGTACGTGCACAAAAAAACATGGCTTTAATGGGAGCTCCGCAGCATTCAAACATCCTGGAATTGGTTTCCAAACAGAAATTGTCGTTATTGATCTTCTTTCCTGTATTCTATTATAAACAAACGTCTCCATACTTAGAAGTTTTGGATCCAGATGAAAGCTATTGACATATCGTTCCAATGTACTGGCGTGTAGATTAAATCACGTAAATGTGTTTTAACCAGTTGTGCACCAACAAAGCATGAGATAAGCTTTAGAAGTAGTATTGTCATTTCTTTGATGGGAGCTACTCGATTTCTGAAATTCACTAAATGAACTTTAATACAATTTTTACTCTCAGCTCTATCAAATTTCAAACACAAGCTGCATCACCATGCTTGCTAGCATCTGAGAAAATATGGAACATTACATCATCTTCATTTTCAATCTTCATATCTGATTTAACCACTTTAAGCTCTTTATCTCCCTATATTTTCTAAATCTATGTTTCTTGCAAAATCATTTTTAGTGTTTACATTAAAGTGAAACATAAAGGGTCAGAATTTTTCTGAGCTACCAGATATTTCTTTTTGTAAATGCTGTATTTATCTTAAATGTTTCTTCTATCTTTTAACTGAAATTGTCTTCTTCTAAATCTCAAATTAATTCTGATATTTGAGATGATTTTGTTTTGTTTTCCGTCTTATCAATCGTTACAATAGGCCTATGTGACGGCCAAAATCTTAAATTAAAGTGATCCGAGATCAAAATCATTTCCTCTGCTCTACGATGCGATTCAGCGAGCAGTTTTATGCTTCTTGAATACGATTTAGCTGGGAGTTCATTGCAGCTTAAGTTATAACTGCGTAATCTTGCCTTCGAGCGTGTTTTTCAAAAGTCAATACGGTCAACAATGCTTCTTTCATGGAGGAGTCAGGAAACACCGTTCTCTGAACATCAAATGCTGCAGTGAGCCAGTAACGTAAATCGATTCATGAAATGGCGGGGGAAAATATTCCCGTTTTTTCATATCAGATATCACTTGTACGTAGATGTCGTTCGCCATATCGCCCCCTCGTCGTGCCGCCATGTTTTTTGACAGAGGCACATCTTTTATAGCTGAAATTACTTCACTTTTATTTTTAAATTCATGAAATAAAGACTCTGACATTGCCAAAATACTCGTAGCTTGCTTCGCAATCGCACCGTCTGGTTATTCTTTCGATGTGACACAGGAATGTAACATACTTTGAAGGTGCTTCTGTGTGATTTAGTTCATTTATGAGTGCGAAAAGACTTATTTGTTGTTGGTTTTTTCTTGCTTTAAAACGCTAGCCCTGATCGTTGCAGGCAGCTTAATCCTAATCTGCCACCATATAAAATCTAAAACCTCCGGAAACGAGACAAAATGAAGGTGATAGAAAACACGCAAGTAGGTGAACACAAATGCAACTTTCCTGTACGTGATGTGTAATTATACCTTTCTTATGGTTGTTTTCTAAATTAGGATTAAAGTTTGTGTCTTATGGGGATGCGGCGATGGTGGCTAGTTAGGACCTAAAGATAGGATTGGAGGCTACCAGGCATTTACGAGATCACCGGTTGGACGCCAATGGAGTAGTCGTTCGTTCAAAACCCCCTCGTCTGTGTCGGTAAATTTTTAAATTCTTGTGAGATTCAAACCACAAAAGTCTTTAAAGCACTCGATCATTATCTGTTATTTTATTACCGAAAGGCCTTTTTCAGATCGAACGAAATATTCCAATGTGATACTTTCCAGTGCGGTTAATATTCTAGAAATAATTTCTACTAAGTATGGACCTTTAACCACACAGTCATTAAGTGAGGGAAGTTTCTAGAATGAGCAAACGCATTAAAAGCCGGTCAAATTTTAATTATTTCGTTTGACGCTTTAGTTAAGGATGATATGAAAAAAAAATGTATCCCTTGATTATTTTCCTCTGTTACTACTCCAATAATTTCATTAGCTACCCAATATTCGACTATTTCTTCGTAATCTTTACTTAGTGTAAATTAATTTAGTTTTCACTAAGAAAGTCCTTTATCAATAAGGAAGTTTTTTATCATTAAGGAAGTCCTTTGTCTTTTCTTTTCTTAGTGTAAATTAATTTAGTTTCTGTTTTGCAGTGGAACTTTCCGGCCATGAACCGATTACTAGGTAAGACAGAGACCAATTACTGGGTATCAACAATCTTTCATAAATACCATTGCTGTGTCTTTTCACAGTGACTGAAAAGTGTTTCTAAGTTTCTTCTTCTAATAAGCCTTTTGTTTTGTTTTCTCCATTGGAAATTCCTGTGGTGTCTAGACGTCATAAGTCTCACAACTTTGCTTCAGAAACGTGCAGAGACAGAGATAGGACCGTCGGGGAATTCTCTAAGCTTGCGTTTTCATTTTTTATTCTTCCGATTAAAGTCCAGCCTAACTTAGTATTAAGGTCTGCTATTCTGACCCCAGTGATCCTATTCCACCCAGGCTGACATTCTGTGAGCTGTAAACAAATGTGGGGTAGAGGACGGTCCTAACAATAAATGTTTTGATGAATTTCGTCAAGCAAACAGGGATTCCCATTCTGACAGTGTTCCTGATATATAGTCTCTTGTTTTTTAGTAAATCGTTAAATTTATCATCTTTAACCTCTCGTACCGAGAAGAAAATTTTTGTTTCATCTAAGGCTTCAATTTTGCAATTATATTTCGCATTTCAACTGCGAAGGTTGAGTTGGTAACAATTAGGATTTTCCGATATTTTTATACCCATGAAAAGACAATGTTTAATTTTTTCTCTTCTTAACTTTACTAATTTTAACATCTTAGTGGCATACTTGGTTATGTATGAATTATGGCTTACAGACTCTATTAACAGACTTAAATAACCTTTTATACCAATTACGATATGCTGGTAACCACATCGTAAATACATGACTTTTGACCTAGTCTTTATACACGCCACTCCTCAAATATCGAAACCAAACTTCATTCTTAAACCTCATGTATTTTTTCATCAATATTTGATTTCGAAAGTACAATATTGACTACGGTGTGTTATTCATCACAAAATGCCGACATCAGCCTTTCTATTTGCTTGAACATCTGTTGGTGTTGACTCCGAAGCGAAAAAAGCGGGTTTTTCTTTCTTATAATTCTTTACTCCTCATTAATTTCGTTTCAAAGATTCAGAAGCGCCGCTTTACCTTAACCCTTAAAAAAACCGAAGCCTTCGCTAACCCGTATGCGGAAACGCCCATCCCCGTTCTGCCGAATCGTACGTGTCCTCCCCTCCCCATCCATTAACGTGCAAAACAGTGTGAAGATCTCAAATGACATCCTTCCTACTTCCTAACAAAGAAGCTTCCATTAGCCCTTTAGGACAAGCTGACTGCAATAAACTGATACAATGTATTCGGTGGTCTTTTGAATGAAAGGTCATCGAAGATGAGGGAAGATGAGGGACGAAGAAACGTTTTGATCCTAAGGGGAAGTTGCCAAAACGCCGAAGATGAGGGGCAGTTGCCACGTTTTGATCCTAACGGTGAGTTGCGACGTTTTGATCCTTTTCGCTCTTTCACGCGATAAAGAGACTCGACAACAAAATGTAATTTAAAGCGTTCTACATAACTGAAAGCGATAAAATATAGCAAAATGCTGGTGTGTATCACAGCTTTCTGAACAAGGAGAAAACTTGTCGGATTCTTACAAAATACACTGTATAATTCTATAAAACTACTATTAGTCTTATAAATGAGACTCTTGCCGAATTTTAAGTTGAACATTTGATATACATACCTTTTGTATCTAATCCTAAAATTATTTTGAAACTTAATCATGTTCAAAATTTTTCTTTTCCAGACATGGATGTGCGGTGGAACTTTAGAAATAGTCCCTTGTTCACATGTTGGCCATATCTTCCGCAAGAGAAGTCCTTACAAATGGAGATCGGGCGTAAACGTGCTAAGAAGAAATTCTGTCCGACTGGCTGAAGTATGGCTTGATGATTATAAAAAATACTACTATCAAAGGATAGGAAATGATCTGGTAAGTTGATCATGGTCTTGGAGAGTGAAATCTTTATTCCTTCAACTCCTTTCAAATATTCTAAATTATCTTCCTGCAGGCAGCATATGCTCAAAAATAAATTGACTGCTATTCTTCTTTCATTGCTTATTTTTTATTCTATTACCATGAATTATGAGCATAGTATCCAAACTGCAAGCATAGAAATTAGTAACTAACGAAAGACGTTATCGCTGAAAATGCGGTTGAAGCCGGAAGCTGTTAAAATATGAGTATGTCTTATAAGATTGAACTCTAATTTCGCTCAATCTAAACAATGGGTAATTTTGCTAGACTTCCAGACGAATTCTTTCGTTTCATTTCTCTAACTAGAATCCTCTAACAAAAAAGGCTAACAAAAATGCTATGAAAGCAATCAAAATATTTATTAGTACTTCAGCATGAAATAGTGAAACTTAATTTTAAATAACCAAGTTATCTTATTGATGCGGCTTTTCTATAACTTCTACTTTCGTAAGCTTTGGCCAAACTGAAAATTAATTAAACTATCAATGAGCTTCAAACTCCTGAATTCTCCGAGAGTGTCTGACAGCAAAATTTGACCGTCAATCAATCTGCTTTAGTTACCCTGCTGCTTAAATTTGTCTTGCTGACATTAGCTTCTAGCCTCTACGTTTTTACGGTTAGAGGTTAACCAAGATTTAAAGTTGTTTGCATTTTGTACACAGCATTTTTTTTTTATCTGAATGTGTATTCACTCGTCGATATTTCGCTCCTATTAATTAGCGAAACCGTCATATTCATGAGTTAATAATCTCTTTTAAACTTTACCTTGGTTATTGCTACTTTTAGTTAGCAGTCAGATTGGACGAAATGTCGTGCTGCAGTCCCTTAACTACTTGGTAATTTGATAGTTCAAAGTTAATAGCATAATCGAATAAAATTACGCAGCTGAGGTAATTAACAAAAAAAAAGGAAATTTCCTCTGATAGCGGCCTGAGAATATAATAATAGTTCAATCATTTAAAAATAAAATATTAAAGACTGATAACCTGGCTCTTACGCTAACGCGCTGTTATTGTATACACTAAATGTACTTCAGAAGATTGAATCAGTATTGCAATACTTTGAGCCTAGGTTCCCAAAGCTCTTTCTCTGAATTTAGATTTCCATTCGTTATTTAAATTCCTTAATTTACTTATAAAGTAGACGAAAAGACAGAAATCCTGAAAAGATTCAGCATAAGGAATAACTTTTTAATTAAAATAAATTTTACAGAATAAAGTGGATTGGTAAGAAGTAATTAATTACTCTCTTAAATGTCTTAGGATAGTCTAGTATATTATTTAAGATATGCCCAACTTCTTAAACTGATGATATTTTCAACTGAGCTGTTCGGAATCATTCACTTTGCCGGATCCAGTTCTATTTGTGTATGAATTTCAGGCAGTTTCACTTTGACTAACTGATCTTATTGAAATGATGGGATACGCCTTTGTCTCCTGTTCAAGGAATTTTGAATTCGAGGATCATAGACAAGAGTTACTTACTTCTTCGACTGTACGTGAGTTTTCGCAGCTTTTCGTGAAAGGTTTAAATTCTTTTATTATAGATATCTCTTAGAATATCTTCATAGAAAGAATTCCTTCCGAGACTAGATAGTCCTAATTCTTTTGCTTTGATTTCATTAGTTACTTAAACTTTCCAAGCTTTAAAAATTTTTTAATCAGCAGTAATATTTTAACTTTTTTTTTTCACAGAAATCATTCTACTAACTTTAAATAGGCGTCATTATAAATTCCTATGCTCGACTAAGGATCAAAGCCAAAGGGTCTTTAGAGTTGTAAGGTGTTCTTACCAGAAAATGCTTTATGCTGATAGGTGTTCTCAGCAACTAAGCTATTTGGAGGCCTTAAATCGATCTCATAACCATGAAAATTTCTGTAATATTACCGAGACTAACTATTTCGCACGTGATATGACCGAGTGACTGAGTCACTTTTAACAATGACCTGGGAAGTTATAATTCCTGTGGTACGAAATAACTAAACAATATTCAAGTATATAGTGATTTAGTAAGTTAGCTGACTTTGCTTATAGTATGCAATGGAGTTTGTATAAACACTAGTATGGATGCCTATCGTAATAACCATCCGCATAAAATTTATTTTGTAATATTTATGCTACATAATTCGCACACAATAATTATGCCGCTCAAAATTTTGGGACCATTTGTATATTACTAGATTATTGTTATTATTGATTTGTCCCCGTTTCGACAGATAGTAGAATTCCCTTTTCGGGTGGTACAATTCCACTTGGTTCACCTCCGTGGTAGGATGCGATCTCAGGGACGCACTTACTCAGCTATAGGTTACACATATAAAGTGCTTAATTTGTTAGGGATTTATTGTCCCTAACAAATTAATTATTTACATTATTTCCATTATTACACTGATAACATAAACACAAGCCGAATTAAAATCCAAATAAAAATTTATTTACCCTAGTTGATTACACTCAAATTGAGGTTTAGTCATTAAAATTATCAAATTTAATCATCGAACCGATAATATATACTTAATTTTTGCGTTAAAAATTAAGATTTTACAAGAATTAAAAGTCAAAAGTGAAAATTTCGCACTTAATAACATGTTAACTTCAAATATCGCCTAGTTTAATGCGCTGGCCATTTTAACAAGCAGGTAAACATTTAGTGATTAGCAAATTAATTATATAATTAATGAAACTGAGTAAAACACCGCAATCATAAATTAGTGTAATTACGTTAAAAATTAGTCAAAATCATGTTTATACTGTAGGATTCTCCACTGTGTAATTCTAAGTTACAGTTGAAAGTGAAGAATTTTAACAACTAGTAAGCGACTAATCGCTTGAGTTCGTGTACAGGAAACAACAAATAAGAAGGGTGAAATAACCCTTTATTATTCCAACTAAAGTTTAACAAAACTCCGCCTTGGAGTTGTACAATAAAGCCGATACTTGGGTTTGAACTTAAGAGAATAAGAATCAAACTAAACTAATCTTAAACTAAAGAGATATAGCCGAAGCTATCAAAATTCTATCAGAGTTGGCTCCTTAACGCTAATAGACTGCGAAGCTATGAAAGGCCTAAAGTACGGCCGAGCGTAATAATAGCTTACGAGAGAGTAGCTAGCCTAAAAAGGCGGACGCGTGCAGCCAGAATATCTGGTATCTCTCTCACTAAGACAGAAGAACTTCGCGGTTAAATACCGCTCTTCCTCATTAGCATTCAGACATGATTCTGAAACTACGTTCTGGCTTTAACTTAAATTAAGAACCGAAAATTAAGAATCGATAGGAAAGGAAGTTTAACTCAAAATTTAACTGTTAGTAAAATTAACATAATCCTTAAAATACATTACTGATTATTTATTAACTCTATTTCTTGTGAAGCTCCTTGGGATTTCCTGCAGAATACTAAGCTTCCAGAGAATATCCTATTGAGAAACGCTGTTATAAAGAAGTAATTTAACCACTTTATTAGTTAAAAACTATTTAAAGGATTTTGAACACGAATGAGACCATGCGACTTCAAATCCTTAGAGTTCTAAATGGGCTGCTATGAGCCGTTTTGTTTTCATAATTTAACAACATCATAAACTATTTTTTTCAGTCCTGTGGTTTGGAAATGAAAATGCCAAGATTTTCATGAATAAATAATGAAAACTACTTTTCTCTATAGGTATACATTATTTATTTTATTAAAGGCATATCCGAATACGTAGAAAGCTTATGAATAAGTAATGGAAGTGGCTTTTCTTTATATGCATATGCTGTTTATTTTATTAAAGGTTTAACCGAAGATATAGAAACCTAACATAAACATTTCTTGAAAAGGAAATAAATGTCTTAAATTTTGTTTCTCCAAAATTCCTTAAACTCAACTAAAATGAAAAATTTAACACAGCTCCACTTTTATTAGTCGTCATTTTAGTCTTTAAAGTCACTTAATATTGCAATATGCCTCATTTATTGAAATTTTTCGTTTAAAAAATTCCTTGGTCAAAACGTTTTATTTAATGCTGTATCTCCTTCATGGTTTCATAAACTAACGCTGAGCCTCTTAAACAGTTTTTTCGTTTTTCTGAATTTTTCGTAGATGCTTTTAGTTTCTTTAACGTAATATTTTCCGCTAAAAGAAACCTAGACCGAGTTAAGATGTGCAGCTTTATAATCTGTGTTAAGAAATATTTTGTTTAATTTAATATTAGAATAAAAAATATATTCGCCTTTTCATTAAAAATGGATTAGCGCAAAATTCATATTAAACGTGTTAATGTAAGGCGCAGTGTTACACATTATGAAAACGCTAATGTAAACCTCGACTTGTTTCCCTGAAAATAAGAGATTTATTTATTGCATTTAGAAAAAAAATAAACTTATTTTTAAATTTCCATGCAAGCTTATCATAAATTTATGAATAATGATTTAATTCATAGAACTAGTAGGAACTAATTTAAATAAATCTCTGTCATAAAATTTAAAAATGTATTATAAAAAGATGTTATTTCAAGTATGAAACTGAATGTAGTGTTAATTTACAATAGCGTGTTAAGAAATGGTTAATCATGATTAAAATATTTTGCTGTTTCTTTTAATAGAAGTACGTGTTAATATAACATTTTAATAACATATAGCAACTTATTAGAAGGTACACATAATTTTCGCATTAAAAAATTCAGATTTTTCAAAAATGAAAATTCCGCATCTAATCGTTAACAAATCACTGTTTTTGACCTTAATGTAATCAAATAAGCTACTGTAATAACATAAAAAATAACTGCAAGCTAATGTCATTTGTAACATCAATATTCACTTGCTCGAGTCTTCTTCGAGCCTTCTATTCGTAAATGCGATACTAAAAATCTCTCCTAGCACGCTCGCTTAACAAGATTGTGAAGTATTTAATGACGGAATGTTGTTCTCTTTAATAATCTGTTTGATATGAACATTGATTCTGTTGACAGACTATTCTAAGAAAATGTTTACGAAAACGATCGCATCCATCAATGACCTTATCTTTTCAATATCTTTGAAAATCTCACTTTAAAGGAGTTTTTCAATGTTTGGCTGAAATATTTATTATAATAAATTGGCAATGTTTGGCACATGTATGTTTTGAATTTGTATCAGACGCTGTTTCATATTTTTAATGAAGTATGTAAAACTCATTTTCTGTATTTTCAGGGTGACTATGGCGATATTCAATCCCGAAAGGACCTTAGGAATAAACTGCAATGTAAATCTTTCGATTGGTATTTGAAAAATATTTATCCCGAGTTGTTCATACCTGGTGAAGCATTAGCATCTGGAGAGGTAAATATGCTTATAAATTTAATAGAAAGCCCGGTGTTCATACGAAATGACCGCTATTCTAGATATTATAAATTGTAATTAAAATTATTTGTGCAAAAGTGTCTGCTAATTTAAACTGAATTACCCAGGGCAGGCGGCGAGGACGCCCCTTTGCTTACTGCCCCACGGACTGCCCACCCTTTGCTCACTGCCTCTTCTACTTACTTAATTGCTTAAAGTAGAGTGCAATGAAGGAAACCACTGGCGGTACATTTCTTAAGAGCCACCGCTATCTCAATAAATAAAGGTGATTTAAATAATAAAATGTTAACTCACATGTCAAAGATCTCTTTGTACACAACATTTCGTGTGTAGATCTTTCCATCATTTTTAAGCTCGCCTTGCTGATTACCATCCATTATTTTTAATTTTACGTCCGTTCTTTGACGAACTCTTAAAAAGACAACATAAAGTTGACCGTGTCCAAATGCAGGCTCAGGTAAAAAAATTCCAACACTCGTAAGCGTTTGGCCCTGAGACTTATTGATGGTCATAGCAAAGGCAAGTTTTACAGTAAATTGTCTACGTCTCAATTGAAACGGCAACCCTGTGCCGTGGCAACTTCACTCCATTGGTTAATACAGTTACGCAAGCAACCAATAAACTATCGGCGACAAACAGACACATAAGCCGCATATATATATGTTCTTAATCTTAATATGTTTCACAAACTATAATCAATTAACAAATGGACTGTATTCCTACACTTTTACTATTTCATTACACTAATTATAAATAATATGTCAGCGATGCGAAATAATTGATACAGAATAAGCGAGCCATTCTACATGGCTGTCACAAACACAATTCTATCAATCAATTATCTTGTTGCCACACATAAAGTTCAAAACTAAAGGAAGAAAAATAAAAGGAATTTACGCTCTTTGCAACAATAAAATGAAGCAAACGATACTCACATAAACATCCTGGCCCTCGTTGAAATCCCAGGGGATTTCAACAGTTGGAGCATTTTGAAACTTCTTAGTCTGTGATAAAAGATAAACATAAGAAAAAAAATAATACAAAATATTATATGCGAAGCAGTTCATAGTTTTTAGTCTGAATAGGAAGAGGACACAATTTCACGACTGGTCGTTTTATGACACCATGACCAGTTTTAATACTAGCAACTCTGACTCTTTGATCTGAGCCCGGATGAACAGCAATTATTCTCCCTAACCTCCATTTAAGAGGCGGAAGGTTGTCTTCTTTGATGAGGACTAAGTCATTGACTTCTAAATTGTTTTGACCTTTTTGCCATTTAGGTCTTTGTTGAAGCTGAGACAGGTATTCTCGACTCCATCTTTTCCAGAAGTGCTGAAAAATAAACTGTCTCACATGCCATCTGTCAATGTGATTGAAGGAACTATAATTTAGGTCTGGTTCAGGTATGGCAGTTAAAGACGTTCCTATTAGGAAATGACCAGGTGTTAATGCAGTTAAATCATTTGGATCAGCCGATGTTGGACACAATGGCCTAGAGTTGAGACAAGCCTTCAACCTGCGCTATCAAGGTCTGAAATTCCGGATAGGTCAGCACAGTATCACCAACAGTCCTTTTTAGATGTAATTTCATTGACTTTACTGCCGATTCCCATAGTCCACCAAAATGGGGAGATGATGGCGGGTTGAATATCCATTTTATTTCCTCTAAAGACAAAAATTTGTGAATTTCTTGATTTTGCTTACATTGCAAAAAACATTTTCTGATTTCTTTGTCTGCACCTTTAAAGTTAGTACCGCAGTCACTATAAATCTCAAATGGTTTCCCTCTTCTTGCAATAAATCGTTTCAATGCACTTAAAAAAATGCCTTTGTTGACAAATCTCTTCTACCACTTCAAGATGTACTGCCTTGATTACAAAACACACAAATAAGCATACGTAATATTTAAATGATTTTTGTCCACGTCCTGCACGATGTTTAATCATGAACGGTCCAGAAAAAATCTATTCCAGTTCGATGAAATGGTCGCGATTGTGTTACTCTAGATTCCGGTAGATCAGCCATTATTTGACTTGCAGTTTTAGCTCTAAGTTTGCAACACGTGATACAAGATCTTACTACTTTTCGGATAGCAGATCTAGCAGCTATGATCCAAAATTGCTGTCTAATTAAAGATAGAAGAAGTTCCGGTGCTGCATGCAGATATTTGACATGAAAGTGTCTAATTATGATTTCTGTCAGATTGTGTTTTGAAGGTAATAAGATTGGATGTTTTTCATTTTCTGATAGTTGCGCATTTTTCAGTCTTCCTCCTACACGTAACACTTTGTTGTCATCTAAAATTGGACACAAGCTAAGGAGGTTGCTGTTTGTAGGTAAGTCCTTTCCCAACTCCAAACATTGAATTTCTTTAAAAAGTGAAATCGCTGTTGTATTATTCGGACAATACAGAAAGTTGCAGCTCGAATTTCATTACTAGATAAAAAAGACGTATTTCTTTCTAGATATGCTACTTTAGAATTCGATATGAATCTTAATATCCAAGCAAATATGCGTTGTAACTTTGGAAATGAAGATATATTTGATATAATAGCAAGTTCCTGTACAGGTTCAGAAACTACAAATGAGACTGTTTTACGTGCATCTGGTAATGCCTCTTCATCTATAAGAATATTTTTAGACAAGGCAATCTCACTGCACTTTAACCAAGAAGGACCATTCCACCACAATTGATGAGATAATAGTTCTGCAGGAAATAACCCACGTGAAGCACAATCAGCTGGATTTTCCTTTCCATCAACATGACTCCAGTTCTCAGGTGGTAAGATGGATTGTATTTCAGAAACTCTATTGGATACGAATACTTGCCATTTTTTAGGATCTGACCTTAGCCATGACAACACGATTTGTGAATCACTCCAAGCTTGCACTAAATCAAAATTTATAACTAATGCAGCTTTTACAGACTGAATCAAGCGTGCCAATAACACTGCTGCACATAATTCCAGTCTTGGAATCGTAATAGATTTTAATGGTGCTACACGAGTTTTTAGCTGTGTTACGAGTTTAACATTAATGCCAGAGTTATTGCAAGTTTTGATATAAATAACTGCTGCATAACCTCTTTCAGACGCATCACAAAATCCGTGAAGTTCACATCGAAAATAATCAGGTAGCAGAATTTTCCTTGGTATGTTTATAGAATTCAAAAGTTTAACTTCTCTACATAGATTTCTCCAATTTCGATCAATCTCTTCTGTTACAGGATCATCCCATGATAATTGTAATTTCCACAATTGCTGAAGGATCATTTTAGCGAGAATTACAAACGGAGCTATCCACCCCAATGGATCGAATAGTTTTGCTACGAATGACAAAATAATTCTTTTAGTCGGAACACTTTGATACTCTATTACACCGACATTACATTTGAATTCATCATTGTCCGGATGCCATTCCAATCCCAGAACTTTCAATGGTTTGTCTTCTATTACACGATGAATATTGTCACTATCTGTGTTTGTTAAGCCAGAGGTTTTTAACAATGACGGTTCACTTGTCGACCATTTGTGAAGCTCAAAGCCACCACTTTTTAGCAGATGTTGCAATTCGTCTATCAATGCAATACCCTCCGAACTATCTTTTACACCAGTTAACATATCATCAACATAAAAATCTCTTAAAACTATATTCTTTGCCTTTGGAAAGTTCAATCCTTCATCAATCGCTAACTGACTCAAAACTTTGGTTGCAAGATATGGAGCAGCTGCAGTTCCATAATGTTTTCAAACGACAAACTTGTATTTGCTTATACGGCTATCTCTCCATAAATATTCTCTGAAAATCTCTATCTTTTCATGAACCTTTATCTGTCTGTACATCATTTTAATATCAGCGGTTATTGCAATGTTATGAAGTCTAAATCTTAGTAAAATACAAATTAAGTCATCTTGTATTTTTGGGCCTATCATTAGTGTATCATTTAAAGAAACACCCTGTGGTTGTTTTAGCGCTCGCATCGAAAAACAACTCTCAATTTTGTTGTTAAGCTAGAGTCCTTCAACACGAAGTGATGTGGGATATAATAGTGTTTATTCTCTAATTCATAATCTGTGTCTGGCACTAATTCTACGTGTTCTAGTGAAAAGTACTCTTTCATAAAACTGAATATACTGGTTGTAAATTTCTTTCATAGATAACAGCCTCTTCTCCAAGAATTGAAGTCTTCTGTACGCTATTTCATGGGAGTCACCTAGAATATCTCTATTATGTTTGAATAGTAATGCAACTGAATAACGACCTGATGTGTCTCTAAAATGCGAGTTTTTAAAATGTTCTTCACAAAATTTTTCTTCATTTCTTAAAGGTTGTACATTTGGAAACTTTTCTAACTCCCAGAAAGAATTTACTAACTCATCTGTGTTTGTATTCAAATGATTTACATATACTGGTTCAAAATTTGTAGTACCCGAAATTATCCATCCCAACCTCGAATTTAGAGCAAATGGTAGATCAGGACCACGTTTGACAATTTCTCCCGTCATTAAATGCAGAAAGAAATACATTTACTCCAAATAAAATGTCAACTGGTTGTGACTTGTAAAATAATGGATCAGCTAATTGTAAATCACTGAAGTTATCGAAGATGATTGATGGCAAAGATACATAGGGAATGTTATCTGTCCACCTTGTCCAGTACAAACGCTGATGTTGATACACGAATATCACTTTTAAAATGAGAAGTGAATACTAAATCGACTTCCCCATTACTTATAGTATTAAATTCTCCTAAAACATGATACAGAAATGGAATTATCTTTCACTCGTAATCCTAATTTCTTCACACAATCCCTTGAAATAAATGATCTCTGAGATCCAGTGTCACATAAACATCTACACTTCACAAACTGTTGCTTCAGAATTTTGAACTTTTATTAAACAGTACACAATAAAATGTGACTGGTTTGATTACCTTTTGCATTCGAATCATAATGAGAGGCACAAACTGTGGCTGA